AGGAAGAGAAGGAAGGAAGGAAGGAAGGAAGGAAGGAAGGAAGGAAGGAAGGAAGGAAGGAAGGAAGGAAGGAAGAAGAGAATGAAAGAAAAAAAGGGAGGGAAGGAAGGAGAGAAAGAAAGAAGGAGAGAAAGAGGGAGGAAAAGTTGCCCACAGCAATGCGTGGTGGGTACAGCTAGTATATAAATAAAAATGTAATGTTCATTTGTGGGATTAACATAACTCAAAAACCACTGGGCAAATTGACACGAAACTTGGATACAAAACATCTATGAGGCCAACAAGTGACCATCACTCATAAAAACACAAAAAAACCACAGTGGCAAGGACTTTAAAACTCCTCAAAACCAAAAAGATGTTACAGTGCATGCACAAAAATGACTCCCTTGGCCCCACCCCCTCCTGCACGAGGAAAAAAAAACCAAACAGCTCCAAGGTTGCTTCTGGTGTGAGAGAATTGGCTGTCTCCAAGGATGTTCCCCAGAGTGTGCCCTGTGGGAGGCTTTTCTTTATAGATCTGTGAAAAGTCCAGGATGGGAAAAAGAACTCCTTTCTACGTGACCCAAGTGTGAATGTTGCAATTGCCCACCTTGATTACCATTTAATAGCCTTACAGCTTCAAGCCCTGGCTTCTTCCTTCCTGCAGGAATCCTTTGTTGAGAGGTGTTACCTGGCCCAGATGTTTCATGTCTGGAATTCCTCTGTTTTCTGAGGGCCACGGCAAAGCATGGTTGGGTACAGCTAGTGTATAATGAAAACATGGCAAAGGATAGTCTTCTCTGAAAGGGGAAGTACATATAGGGCGAATTAATATGTTACCAATGTGCTACAGAAACTTTCTCTCCTGGCTGGATTCTGTGTGGTTCTGGTAACAACATGTTACAACATGTCAGTTGGCCAAGGTGCAGATCCTTTATCAATCAGCTTTGCAAAGACTGATCATATATCACCTTTTATATGTTAGAGGAGCACAGGATTTAGTCACATAAGAGTGTGAGATCATGAAATTCAAGTTAAACAAAGAGGTGAAGAAAGTAATAGTGAATAATGTATTGTCGAAGGCTTTCATGGCCGGAATCCCTGGGTTGTTGTAGGTTTTTCCGGGCTATATGGCCATGTTCTAGAGGCATTTTCTCCTGACGTTTCGCCTGCATCTATGGCAAGCATCCTCAGAGGTAGTGAGGTCCTACCTCTGAGGATGCTTGCCATAGATGCAGGTGAAACGTCAGGAGAAAATGCCTCCAGAACATGGCCATATAGCCCAGAAAAACCTACAACAACCCAATAGTGAATAATGATTATTTCTTAGGTCAAGATGCCACTAAGTGACATTCAGAAAAAAAAAATTGGAACTCTGACGTTGAGCTAAGGGGACCTCATTTGGGATTGGGGCCTATAGTTTAAGAAGCATTTCATTATGCCACTGAAAAGGTCTAATAGGATTTCTGCTTTCATTTCCTAGCTATAGAACAGGAGTAAGCAACTTTGGTGGGTCTGGAACTTTACACAAATATTAAAATATCCTGGTACACACAATGAGTCATTCTCTCAGCAAAAATGAATCTTCCCATTTTATTTTAAAAACCTGCAAATTGATATATGATTTTAAAACTATATGCGATTTTAAAACCACATATTTCCAGTAAAAGTTGACAGTGTCCCACGCTTACATGAGAATTGTATTTCCTGGAAGGTTTTCAGAATATGATTCTCCTTTTTGTGTGTGCACACAAAACCAAAAGAAACTGCACTGATAGAACTGGAAAGAAATTAGGGGCAGCGTAAATTCTGTGGGCCGTGAGTTGCCGATACCTTCCCTATGGACTTGATCAAATCATTCTGAATAATATACTATAAATCTATCTATTGTAGTCACCAAGCTGTAAGATTGGGAAGATAGTTCCTATCAATGTTTTAGATCTGGGGACTCTGAAAATATTTTCAACAGACTCAAGCATTGATCACTTAACAACACTTCTGATAAAGTCTTTTACTGTATTGAGGAACCAAATCCAGATCCCTTCCCTATTTTCTGTCTAGCCGGGAGTTTGGGATTTTTTTATTTTATTGACATTTGGAGAATTTTGTTGGAGGGGTACAGAAAAACAAATTGACAATTGTTTGCAGCAGTGTATCTGGAATAAACAACACGGTAAAGATTGACTGTGATTCTCCTTTAAATGATCCTACTCTAGCTGTGTGTGAAACAGACCAGGTAAAACTGCTGCCCCCAGAATCACATATGAAGCATGTAAGATCAAAACAGAAAGAAAGGGGGGAAATAGATTTGGTTGCCTCGACCGGATTCCTGGCATGTAAAAAAATAATAGTTCTATGGATTTCACCACCAAATTAGAAATCTTAAGACAAGTGAGAGCTGTAGAAAATATAATCCTGGGATGCATTTTGGAAGAATGTACTCTCCAGTAGATTCAAAATGATGGTTACCTTGTTATTTTATTTCATATATTCATAAGGTAACCTTTGATAATAAAATACATAAATCAAATATGTTGAACTGCTCTTCTTTTTCTGTCATATAAGGACCTATCTCTATTCCATCCATGTAATTTGTGCCCATTGTGCCAAAGTTTCTATTAAAGAAGTCCAGGAACACACCCACTTTGCTAACTGTGTCATACCTATATTTATCATCAGTGAAGTATGGCAGGTAATGTTCTTGAAAATTCCTGTAATGAATACAGTAAGAAAACTGCTTGCATTCAAAACAGCATGCATTAGGAAAAGACGGCACCAAAAATCCATACAAAATTTCACACAACCCTTCCCCCAGGTGTATTTTAGTATGAATCTCTGACAGATTGGGATAAATTTGTTTCTTTTGTTTTTTGTTGCAGGCTTACTTCAGTAGATGTGTTTCTGGGCATTAATTCATAAACAGATACCATAGTTTGATACCATAGGGATAAATAACATGGAAGGAATAACATGGACATAATAGGGGTAGATTCCTACATCACAAAAAAGAGAAGAAGTAAAAGAAAAAAGCACTTCAATGTGTTTTGTCAAACCTTTTATTCAAAACTAACAATGTGCACATCTGAAATCAAGCAACCAGGTCAGGCAAGCCTTGTATAAATAGAAAAAACTTTTTGAATATTCTAGCATCTCATGATGATTCCCCCCTCCCCCCACAATTGAAGCAATGATTCTCCGCCATCATCTTTGCTGGACTGGCCACATTGTCCGAATGCCCCAACACCGTCTCCCAAAGTAGCAACTTTACTCTCAACTCAAGAATGAAAAACTGAGTATTGTTGTACAGCAAAAGAGATTTAAAGACAGGCTTAAAGCTTGACCTAAAAAAATGTGAAATAAAGAACTGAGAAACCCTGGTGCTCAAGCATCCTAACTGGAGGCCAGCTGTTGCCAACAGTATTTTGGATTTTGAAGAAGCACGAATAGAGGGCAAAAGGGAGAAATGTGCCAAGAAGAAGGTACACCAAGCAAATTCTTGTAGGGACTGCCTTCCAACTGAAAATCTATGTCCTCATTGTGAAAGACTGTGTGGATCCAGAATAGTCACTTACAGATCCACTGCCAAGATTGGATCCTTGAGAGATAAGAGCGACCACATGTATTCTAGATCCTTGTCCTTCCTGGCTGATCAAAGAGGCCAGAGGAGGACTGGCAGAATGGGTGAAGGGGGTGGTCAATGCCTCTTTGGAACAAGGCAAAGTTCTAACTTGCCCAAAGCAGTCATTTGTGAGATCTATATTTAAAAAACCTCTATAACAGACAACTATTGACCAGTGTCCAACCTCCCTTTCTGACCAAGGCCTTGGAGCATGTGGAGGCCTCTCAACTCCAGGGATTTCTGGATGAAATTGATTAATTAGCTCCATTTCAATCTGGTTTCAGGCCTGGCTATGGAACAGAGACAGCTTTGGTCCTATGCAGAGAGCTAGACAGGGGGAGTGTCTCTCTGTTGGTTCTCCTGGATTTCTCAGTGGGTTTCAATACCATTGAGCATGTTATTCTCCTGGACCATGTCTTTGGGATGGGACTAGGAGATACTGTTTTATAGTGGCTCCAAGCCTTCCTGGAGGATTGTACCCAGAAGGTGGTACTGGGGGACACCTGTTCAAACCCCCGAGTGTTGAACAGGTGTGCCCTAGCACCACCTTCTGGGTAAAGCAGCTTGACATAAAATAAATAAATAAATGAATAAATGATAATAATACCCCTGGAAGACAATCATACACAGCCATGAGTGATTGCTTATAATGACACATGAAGACACACACAGTTACAGAAAGATCAGCTAGACTAGAATTTCATTGTTTCCCAGCTGAAGTTGTATGGTTTGTTTTCAAGGCATATAGTGTACAATACAATATATGTTTCTCCAGGTCCCCTTCCTTATCCTTCCAAATTCCAATGTTCAGGCAGATAGAAGACAAAGAGGAGGGGGGAAAAGGAGGAAACTGGAAGAGCTTAAAAAGTCTTCGTCAAAGAGCGACCTCGCTGACAGAGACTTTGTTAAGTCTGCCTATATTCTACTTTCACTTTTAGATCAGTTGTTCCCAACTTTTGGTTTTCCAGGTATTTTGGACTTCAATTCACAGAAATCCCAGCCATCTTACCAGCTGTTAGGAATTGTGGGAGATGAAGTACAAAACACCTGGAGGACAAAGGTTGGGAACCACTGTTTTAGATCAATCCAGTAGAAATTTCATCATCATTTTTAAAAAATCAATAGCAGCCGTGGGGAATGCAGTCTGGAAGGGGACCTTAATGGAGTTGAAAGGGGCTTCAATTCTTGGTCCTCTGCTCTGCTGTAGTGCTAATCTTCTATTAAAATTCTTCTATTAAAAAGTGTACCCACAATCATGAATTGAATTAATGGTGTCACATTTGGTTTGACCCTAAATCGTAATCGATTAGGTGTCCAAAACAGGTAAATAAAAATCCCCCATAAAGCCCACACACACCTGTTTTGTCCCCCGCAGACTCAATAGGGTCACTTCGTAAGAAATCAAAGAGTAGAAAACCTGTGTGGTTCTCTCTTGTGGCTTTTTTGGTGTAGGATGATTAGTAAATTCTCAGAAGTAATAGTGGAAAGCCAAAGACCTGATGATGTCACGGTAACTCATCAATCCTTCGTGAACAAGGTGGCAATGGGTATATATAAAAGAGACGACTCCGGTCCTTTACAGCACAGCCCAAAATCCACAAGTAAGTAGCAAAATGATCAATTTCTTTTTCTCTCTCTTTCTTTATATATTAGTATTGTATACACCTATATAATTTCTAAAATATCATAATGTATACATTTACAAATATAAAATCATTTTGATAAATATAATTTCATCTGTCTATGTATGTATGTATCTATACTGTATGCATATTTGTTTGTCTTCATGGAGAAATTCAACTTTTTTCCATGTCTTGAAGGTTCCAGATTGTCACCGAACTTACTGCTTTTCTACTGGAGCCATGAATCCTCTGCAAAACTGGATGGGGTGCCTCTCATTTTGGCTGTTCTGTTCTTGTTGCATGCCTTTTCTCCTCTTTGCAAGTCCTTTGCCGAATAAGGAAACTGATATTCATACGAATCACTCCTGCATACTCAGGACGGTTCTGCCACCCTATATCAAGAACTGCACCCTCACCTTAGCTGAACAGGTAAAGCAATAAGCCAAACCATCTCATGGATATTTTATCTCCATGGTGTCTCTCCTGTTTGTAGCCTAGGGTTATTTTTCCATACTGTACTTTTTTTTTTTGAGGTATGCCATTACTTCTTTTTGAAAGTGAATGATGACTCAGATAGATAAACTCATTTATACAAGAAAGTATCTACTATGGGGATATCACAGCAGCTTACAACATATTCAGCTATTTTAATGATGTTGATCATTATTGGCCACTCAGTGTTTTCTTCTGCCTATAAATCTTGCAAACGTGGATTTTTTTTACATCTTCTATATTATTATTATTATTATTATTATTATTATTATTATTATTATTATTTATTCAACTTGTATACCGCTACCCCCAATTTGGCTCGGAGCGGTTTACAGAAACAGATTAAAACAATACAATTAGCTTTAAAATGACCATAACAATAACAATAGGCAGCAAGAACAGGCATAGCCCGGATTGTTCACCCATCAAAAGCTTGTCGGAAAACAAAAGTTTTACAGGATTTCCGAAAAGCAAGTAGGTCTCAGATGGTTCGATTTTCAACCGGCTCCATCAGCTATTCTTTTTGTGTCAAAGGATGTGAAAATATAAATTGCATCTAGATTAATTGAGGAACCATGTTCTTCTATATGAGTCTTCATGGGTTTTGAGCTCATTAGTGGAAGTCCTTCTCTACATAACAGATACAGGGTCTTTTTGGTGCCTGCTCCCAAGCTCTGGAGAAATCAGACCGGTTTCCTCTAATGGCAGATTTAGTTTTGAAGTCCTTTGACTATTGTTTGTTGGGGAAAGGTTTTTAAAAATGCACTTTGTTGTCCGTAGGTGTTATGTCTTAATGGGCATGCTCTGAAATTGCATTTTAATATTGTTGATGGTCTGATTTTATTCTAACCTTCATATGCTTACAATGATGTGAGCTTTAATGTCATTTTCATGCTACACTGAGTCCCAGGGTTGGCAAGAAAGTGGGTTATAAATGAAATAACAGGAGAAACAATAATAACCAATATTTCGGTTTGAAGCTAAAAGCTCTCACACACTGCAGTATGTCACTCAAAAACTGAATACCATATATACTTGGGTATAAGCCAACCCAAATATAAGCCCAGGGTCCTAATTTTACTACAACAAACTGGGAAAATGGATTGACTTGAGTATAAGCCGAAGGTGGGAAATGCAGCAGCTACTAGTAAATTTCAAAATAAATATAGATAGCAATAAAATTATATTAATTGTGGCATCAGTAGGTTAAATGTTTTTGAATATTTACATAAAATTGTATTTAACTGCCAAACTCTTATCTTAAATTACAATTTTATTCTTCTTCTTTACAGTTTTATTATTACATTATTCTAACCTTTCAGTGTATACGTACTTACATATCCTTCCGATAATAAAGTAAAATCATAAATGTCATAATAATCATCATCATAGAGTTAAAAAATGGAAATGTAATAACAGTAATACTTGAGTAAAATAACAAATGTACTAATAGATTAAAATAAATGTAATAATAATAATAATAGAGTAAAATAATATATAACCTTAATTTGAGTATAAGCAGAGGGGGGCTTTTTCAGCCTTAAAACATGCTGAAAAATTAGGCTTATACTGTACTTGAAATTGGTCAATGGTTAAGCAGTAATACCTATATGAGAATTTTAAATGCTTTTTATTCCACTTTTTTTTTTGTCGTGTCAGGAGCGACTTGAGAAACTGCAAGTCGCTTCTGGTGTGAAAGAATTGGCCATCTGCAAGGACATTGCCCAGGGGACGCCCGGATGTTTTGATGTTTTATCATCCTTGGGGGAGGCTTCTCTCATGTCCCCACATGAGGAACTGGAGCTGATAGAGGGAGCTCATCCGCGCTCTCCCCGAATTCGAACCTGCGACCTATCAGTCTTCAATCCTGCTGGCACAGGGGTTTAACCCACTGTGCCACCAGGGGCTCCTATTCCACAAATTGTTTTATTGTATTTTAAACATAACTTTTAAGCTGCATTTTTGTAAAATGTAAGCTGTTTTGAATACTAATATGGGGTGGGGGGGGGAAGTGGGTTATAAATTGAATTGGGTGTGAGCACATTTGCATTCATCATCCTAAGACTTTAATTTTACATTGTATTATTTACCATATACACAGCTGTATAACAATTTCCCCCCAAAATCCTCTATAGAAATGGAGAGTTGTATTGTTCCAATGAACTGTGTTGCCACAGTCTAGAATGTTCAAAAATAAAAATAAAATCAGAACCTTTTCTTTCTGCCACACATTCATTTTGACTCTTTTTTTTTCAAGGCAAGACTTTCTGATAAAGATACGGATAACAGATTCATTGGGCAACATCTGTATGCTAACATCAAGGTGAGCTTCCCCATTATGACTTGAATTAATGTTCTATCTACACAATTCCTTGTTCTGTTGTTCTTCAGTCTATGTACTTTCATGATCTTGTTTCACAGGAGAAAGACCACTGCTATGTAATGAAGAGAGTAACAGACATTGTCATTAAAAATGTCCTCTCTGAGCTGAAATCTGCTCCTGGAAACCTGCTTCCTGCTTCCAATGTCAAAGAAGTGGCAAATTTCTTGGCTGAACAGCATGGGGAATTGCATGGCTGTGTAAGTATCAAATCTATCTCCTGATACTCTCAGTTATCCATTTTTTATCTTTCTTGAAGTCTCATTGCTTTTCATAATGTCAAATGTACATACGTTGTTGTTGTTGTTTTGTGCCTTAAGACATTTCCAACTTACGGCGACCATAAGGCAAATCTACAACAGAGTTTTCTGAGGCTAATATAACAGATAACAGCCTTCCACCAAAGTTGTGAAAGAAAGCTCTTAATGCCCATCAGAGGTTTGTCTAGTCACCATCCTGGTCCCAAACTTCCAGCATATCCTATGTAATCAGCTACATAGTGAGCAGCCCCCGGTGGTGCAATGGGTTAAATCAGTGGTTCCCAACCTTTTTTTGACCAGGGACCACTTGCCCAGGGACCACTTGCCCAGGGACCACTTGACAAGCATTAGTACCAAAAAGGTTATGAATCGGTTTTTGGTCAACTTTAGATTTGGTTTGGTTATTTGGGAAGCTGATTCAGAAAAATGCATTGGATAGATCACATTAGCTCTAGTTTCTGATACAGAACATATGCTATCCAGTAGTCGCCATCTGCTCGCCGACAGAAAATCATATTTAATAATAAGGGTTTCATGAGACTCGTCACTCTCTTTGCAATGGTGTAGTAACGGTGAGGCGGCGGGCCATATTTTATTTCTTGCAGACCACAGGTTGGGAACTACTTGGTTAAATCTTTGTGCCGGCAGGACTGCTGACTGAAAGGTCGGCGGTTCAAATCCAGGGAGCAGGCTGAGCGCCAATCTGTCAGCTTCAGCTTCCCATGTGGGGACATGAGAGAAGCTTCCCACAGGATGGTAAACCATCCAGGCGTCCCCTGGGCAACATCCTAGCAGATGGCCAATTCTCTCACAGGAGTGACTTAAGAAACTGCAACTTGCAGTTTCTCAAGTCACTCCTGACATGGGAAAAAATCGACATAGCGAAACCACTTTCTTCAATACCAGTTTGAAACTGACTTAAGTGGTCAGTGCAGATATGATCATAATTCAACACTCAAACCACAGCCATTCTCAATTTATGTAGAGAAAAAGCAAAGTTATCAAGTGTCTGGCATTAACATGAGAGGAGGAAACCTCGAATCAAAACTTCCAAGTTTTCTGAAGTGCAAGTCAAGAGAAAGGTGTGAAATGAAACCACTTTGTGTTCTTTCTTTTTCAGAAACCTTCGGGGAAAAGTGAACACATTGAAAAAAATGTGAAGCAAATGAAAGACAAATTAGATAAGGTACGTTGATTTTTAGAATTCACTATGAAAACAGTTGAGTAATTTTACCTTGTTTTTGTACAACTAAGGTACAATTCTGTAATATTCATGGCTGTAACTCCTCAGCATGCATGTAGGGAAATTAGGTTTATTACAACCTGTGCTAAATAGGGAGTAGTATAGTGTAGAATAGAGAACAGACAAAGCTGCTATTCTAAGGCAGTCATATTATCATAGACATGGATACTTACTTAGATGATCTCTCATAGTTTGAGGATGATTGTCTTCCAGAGGTGGTGTCTTGGCGGTGGGTCCGTAGGTGGCTGTGGAGTCCTAATCTTGATCTGCATGTTCTCCTGCGGTGAGGACATTGGTTTCCAGGTGGAAGGCAGTCCCGGTCAGGGTTGGCTTGATGTGCCTTCCTCTTGGCATGTTTCTCCCTTTCACCCTCCATTCGTGCCTCTTCGAATTCTGCAGCACTGCTGGTCACAGCTAACCTCCAGTTAGAGTGAGCAAGGGCCAGGGTCTCCCAGTTCTCAGTGTCAATGCCACAGTTTTTAAGCTTGGCTTTAAGCCCATCTTTAAATCTCTTTTCCTGTCCACCAACATTCCATTTCCCATTCTTGAAGTGTAGAGTAACTGCTTTGGGAGATGGTGATTGGTGATATTGATACACACTGGGATGAACACATTCAATATCACACCTCTCTTCATCCACACAACTGAGCTGATCCGACAATCTGCAGTCCTGCAATTGTACTTCCCACTCACTTTTACACACTTCCACTAAACTGCAATGTTTTAAGTTTTTTAAAGAGCAATTTTGCAACTTCAGTAATGCAAAAAAGGCTAATATAACAAAAATATTAAATAAACACAAAACAGCTTGAGAATAGCGAGGGGGAAGGGGGAGAGGAGGACCCGTTGCACCCAAGTAGGTGTTGGGAATGTTTCCGAATTGCGAGCTGTTGATGGATTTTGCCCATCAATAGTGAAGAATGGATTAATTGCAGAAAGGAGGTAAACCAGTAGCCAGGATACACACAGCACCCAACTTCACTGCTAGTTTGCCTATCTTGTGTGATAAAGTCCAGACTTACCATCTTTTTTTCTGCTGTTGTTTTGTTAGAATCTCAGGGACTTTTCGTGTAATCCTGGGATTTGCGGTTTAGGGAAGATTATTTAGGATGCTCTGCCAGAGCACTCCAATGCATCACAGAGTTCTGAATGTCCATCAGCTGGAGATGGGACAGAAAAACTCAGAGCAGACCTATGTCTGGTAGAACTAAGCAAAATAGCGTTGCTGAGCTTATTGATTCAAACCCAGATCGTATTTTCAGCATCAGTACAGTAGCCCTGGTACACATACATTCATTTCTGTATTTTGCCAGCCAGGCTTTCTTCTTTTTTACCAGCCTACTGTGAGAGAGGGGTTTTTTGTTATGATTTTGTTAAATGACTAGAAGTCAGAAAGACTTGCAGTTTGACCAAGTTGCTTTTTTATACTTCAGTCCCAAAATACCCATAGCAATTACCGTATGTCTACTAGTTGGCTGGGTGATTCAGAGAGTTGTAGCTAATTCTCAGCTGCCTTTAAGGCTGGATCTACATTGCCCTATATCCCAGAATCTGATTCCAGATTTTCTGCTTTGAACTGGATTATATGAGTCTCCACTGCAATACAATCTGGGATAAGAATATAATCAGGGTTCAGATCCTGTGATATTGGGCAGTGTAGATCTAGCCTAAAACATCCCAGTTTCTCTTATTCTTCGCCCCATTTCCCCAGTTTATTTCAGCTTCTGCAAACCGTGTCCAAATAACCTTTTTTTGGTTTTGATTCTACAGTTGGGAGAGAATGGAAAGAACAAAGCAGTTGGTGAACTTGACTTGCTCTTTGAATACCTGGCAAAAGCATGCATCAAAGCACCGGCTTCGTAAAGGACTAAACAATAGTTGACCATCAATCAGCTCATAAAGCTACTTCTATCCAGATGGGCCAGCTGTTTCATTTCAGTTTGTGGAAATTTTAATGGTAATTTATTGTAACTTGATAATGATAACTTATTTAAAATTATATGTATTTTTATGTGAGCAATTTATTTATATGGCTTATTAAGATTAGTGGCAGACTTTAATGGGACACCTCTAGAGTAAGTAAGTTGAAGGCTGGCCATCCTCTCTGATGTGAAATGAATTTACTTTAAAATAAAAGCCAGTTTAGAAGTGTGGCAACTCCATAGCACCCATCCATAATATATATCGTATCTTGTGGAAGGGGACATTTAACAGTAATGAAAATGAAACAATTGAATGCTGGGGAGATGGAGGGCCCTTCCAGACCGGCCCTGTATCCCAGGATCTTATCCCAGGTTTTCTGTTTATCCCAGATTATCTGGCAGTGCAGACTCATATAATCCAGTTTAAAGCAGAAAACCTGGGATTAGATCCTGGGAGATAGGGCCTGTCTGGAAGGGTCTGAAGACTAGGGACCCATCTACACTGCCATATAAAATCCAGATTATCTGCTTTGAACTGGTTTATATGGCAGTGTAGACTCTGATAATCTGGATTTTATGGCGATGTAGAAGGGGACTTTGTGTGCACTTGATGTTTCCATACAAATACTTTAGAAAGAAGCCCTCTTCTTCATGCAGTCATGAGAGCCGTTATTATTATATAAATTAGGATGCTAATATAGTAGACTCTTAGACTGGCTCTACATTGCCATATCAAATCCAGATTATCTGATATGAACTGGATTATATGGCAGTGTAGATCCAGCCTTAGTTAAATCAAGCATTTGTCAAAAAATTTAAAGAAATAATACTTTGAATAAAAAACTATTTTTATAATACAGTAAAACGGTAAAACCGCTACATTACTTGTCTTAATTTGCTTTAGTTTCTGTATTTCAATATTAATATCACCAATACAGAGTTTATGAATATAGTATTGTATTATTTAAGCCTATTTTAAATAACAAGGTTCCATCAACTAGAAACTACATTTCTTCAGCATCTACCAATTCCACAAGACCTGGTTCACACGAAAGTCTATTGTATGTAGATGAGGATGTGAAGCCTGCACCCCTTGACATTTTGTTGGACTCCAACTCCCACCAGATCCACTTAGTGGTTGGAAATAATGGGATCTTTAGTCCAGCAGAATCTAGAGGGTTCCAGGTTCTTCATTCCTCATGCAGAACAACCATATGAACATTGAACACCCTTTCATTCTGGGATTAGCACTGAGCCCGGAAGCCTTGTGCCCCCCTGCCAAGGAATTTGTGGCTGATGGGGAAGCTTGATACTAAACTAGATTTCAATAGACCTCATTTCTTCCTTTAGGACAATGGAGCAAAGCATAACATCTCTTGATAAAAGTTAAGTTCTTAAAAAAAAATAAAAACGAAAGAGAGCAGTTTTGCCCAGTCTATATGGCTATGAGGTCAAAAAGCTATAGACCCAACCATCTAGAGTCACCAGACTGGGGAAGGCCAAAACAGAAAACATTATGCCAGACTCAAAGGAGAATTTTCTCATAGTTATGCAATTATTATTATTTCTAGTTTGTCCAGTATTTGGAAAAAAAAGCTTGACTAAATCTTATCATCCTATGGGGAAAAAGTATGTTATTTTAGATAAAACCATTGCAGATATTGACTATTTAATGATAATTTATATAATGTTATATTTTATAAGCATAATTTATATGAACAATATATATATTTATAAGATATGTTTATAATGTGTCAAGTTCTTGAGTTCCTGCTGTAATCAATATGATCTCAGTCTACCTGTATTTTACAATCTGTTTTTGATGTGTTGATTTCACCCATGTGGGTATTCATTGAATAATAATAAATTCTGTTCAACAAGAGATTTGTTCCGTTTTTTAAAATTCATTGTCATACATTTGCCTTTCTGTGTCACATCTCAACATTGAACAGCTTCATCATTACTTCCTTCATTTGTATAATAACACTTACATGAAAATACATTTCATCACACATTTTAAGTGGTATGTTTGTGAACGTGTGTTTCTAATTATGATCACTGTTGATGTGATGATGTGCCTTTGATTCTAATGTATAAGGGCTCTCTTCAAAAGATTTCTTGGTGAGACTTTGGGGCTGAAATATAGAATCATAGAATTGGAATAGACCTTGTGGGCCATCCAGTCCAAACCCCCGCCAAGAAGCAGGAAAATTGCATTCAAAGCACCCCCGACAGATGGCCATCCAACCTCTGTTTAAAAGTCTCCAAAGAATTAGCCTCCACCACGTGGAACAATGGCTTCAAACTACAAGAAAGGAGATTCCCTATGACTTCATCTCTCATATTTATACATGACTATCATGTCTCCTCTCAGCTTTCTCTTCTTCAGGCTAAACATGCCCAGCTCTTAAAGCCGCTCCTCATAGGGCTTGCTCTCCAGACCCTTGATCATTTTAGTCGCCCTCCTCTGGACACATTCCAGCTTGTCAATATCTCTCTTCAATTGTGGTGCCCAGAATTGGACACAATATTCCAGGTGTGGTCTAACCAAAGCGGAATAGAGGGGAGCATTAATCCGGAGTTTCGTGGTGCGGTGTTATCTGTACGCAGATGATGTCCAACTCTGTCACTCCTTTCCACCTGCTACTAAGGAGGCTGTTCAGGTCCTGAACCGGTGCTTGGCCACTGTGACGGTCTGGATGAGGGCGAACAAATTGAAATTGAATCCAGACAAGACAGAGGTACTCCTGGTCAGTCGTAAGGCCGAACAGGGTATAGGGTTACAGCCTGTGTTGGATGGGGTCGCACTCCCCCTGAAGATGCAGGTTCGCAGCTTGGGTGTGATCCTGGATTCATTGCTGAGCCTGGAACCTCAGGTTTCAGAGGTGACCAGGGGAGCATTTGCACAGTTAAAGCTTGTGTGCCAGCTGCGCCCGTACCTTGGGAAGTCTGACTTGGCCACGGTAGTCCACGCTCTGGTTACATCCCATTTAGACTACTGCAACGCTCTCTACATGGGGTTGCCTTTGAAGACTGCTCGGAAGCTTCAACTAGTCCAACGCTTGGCAGCCATGATACTAACAGGAGCGGCATTCAGGGAGCAAACTCCTCTGTTGCGCCAGCTCCACTGGCTGCCAATTTGCTACCGGGCACAATTCAAAGTGGTGACGTTGGCCTATAAAGCCCTAAACGGTTCTGGCCCAAGATACCTATCCGAACGCATCTCCGCCTATGAACCCACCAGGACTTTAAGATCTTCTGGGGAGGCCCTGCTCTCGATCCCGCCTGCAACTCAGGCGCGATTGGCGGGGACGAGGGACAGGGCCTTCTTGGTGGTAGCCCCTTGGCTGTGGAACACCCTACCCACAGACATCAGATCAGCCCCCTCATTAATGGCATTTCAGAAGAAAGTGAAAACCTGGTTATTTGAACAGGCATTTGAATAGGCAGTGCAATGAATTACAATGAATCATAGGAATCGGAACAACGGATGATGAACTTGGATTATAATTTTAGTTATGAGACGCTAGTGAACTGGTTATTGATGTTTATTGATGTTTATTGATGTTATTGCTTAGTGTATTAGTGTGTTAATTGTCTTTTAAATGGCTGTATGGTGTTGCATTGAATTTTTGCCGCTCTTATTGTTAACCGCTGACATTAAGTCCAGTCGTGTCCAACTCTGTGGGGTGGTGCTCATCTCCATTTCTAAGCTGAAGAGCTGCCGTTGTCCGTAGATGCCTCCAAGATCATGTGGCTGGCATGACTGCATGGAGCACCATTACCTTCCTGCCGAAGCAGTACCTATTGATCTAATTTCTTTCTGGACTGGTTAAACATGAACTACACATTATGCTTCATTCCGCTACAGACTTGTGGGAGATGAAATGAAACATACTTTTAACAGGCATATTCTTATTAATTATTTGCTGGTGGTTTTGCTTATCCTTGAGGCTCTAACCCAGTGGTCTCCAAAACTATGCTTCTCCAGACGTTCTGGACTCCAGCTTCTGGAACTCCTGGCCACTGGTCTTCTGAGAGCAGAAATCCAAAAACCTAGTGCATCAAAGTTTCGAAACCACTGATCTAACCCAGGACTTCTTAAACTGTTCTGACTCACAACCTTTTTTACACGACTCCAGGTATATAAAATAGAAATAAAAATTAAACATTTGCTGATAACAAACCAGCATTTGCAAATCTTACTAAACAGGCTGATTTCTCATTTGCTGCAACGTCCACTGTAATCACTGCACGTTGGTGCTAACGGATTTGCATCAATGGATAGCATTCATTTTACTGTTGCCAATTTTTGTGGCCCTAAGAGTGATCTTAGGGAACCCCAATTGGGGTCGAGACCCACAGTTTAAGATGCAGTGGTTTAATCTGCCCCTTACTGAGCTCCTCATTCTGCAATAGCTTACTAGGACCCTACCAAAGCTTACATTCTCACTGAAATCTGGGCTGCAGCCTCTTCCCCTGAAGTCTTTTACCTTAAACCAGTGGTTCTCAACCTTCCTAATGCCATGACCCCTTAATACAATTCCTCATGTCGTGGTGACCCCCAACCATAAAATTATTTTCATTGCTACTTCATAACTGTAATTTTGCTACTGTTATGAATCAGTGTAAATATCTGATACGCAGGATGTATTTTCATTCACTGGGCCAAATTTGGCACATATATTCGATACGTCCAAATTTGAATACTGGTGGGGTTGGGGGAATGGGGGGTTGATTTTGTCGTTTGGAAGTTGTAGTTGCTAGGATTTATAGTTCACCTACAATCAAATTGCATTCTGAACTCCACCAAGGATGGAATTGAACTAAACTTGGCACACAGAACTCCCATGACCAACAGAAAACACTGGAAGGGTTTGGTGGGCATTGACCTTGAGTTTTGGAGTTGTAGTTCACCTACCTTCAGACAGCACTGTGGACTCAAACATTGATGGATCTGGACCAAACTTGTCATGGATACTCAGTACACCCAAATTTGAACACTGGTGGAGTTTGGGTAAAATAGACCTTGACATTTGGGAGTTGTAGTTGGTGGGATTTATAGTTCACCTAATATCAAAGGGCATTTTGAACCTCACCAACAATAGAATTGGGTCAGACTTCCCACACAGAACCCCCATGACCAACAGAAAATACTGTGTTTTCTGATGGTCTTTGGTGATCCCTCCAACACCCCCTCGCAATCCCCCTCAGGGGTCCCAACCCCCAGGTTGAGAATGCTGCCTTACACAAAGCCCTCTCTTTCTATCTGAGAGGCTGTGGTTATGTATGATAGGACATGCCATTGGGGGGTTTGAAGTACCCCTTTCCATAGAGGATAACAGCCTCCATGACAAGCTGGGGAAACTTCAAAAGGATTTAATCTCACTTTGCACAGCTATTGACGAACAATTTATTGAATAGAAATCCCACATCCTGCTGAGTCGGCAGCATGTCTGAGAAACAGGATCTCTACAGTATAACATTTATGGGATTATTGAGCAAACCAGAATCTCTCCAAACGCTTGACATTTCTAAATTTTCTGGCTGCTGCTGCTAGAAGATTTGAGAATATTTAGGTCTAATTTGCACATTTTGAATATTTCCTTGGGAAAGCTTTGCATACAAATGTAGGATGGAAACATGTGGTTGTAGTGGGGGTGGCGAGTAGTTGAATGTTTAAACACTTACTCAAAAAGATTGAATCAGTGCAAACTTTCTCAATACACTGAACTTCAGCGTGCTGGGACGACTGCTAAAATTGCCTCTTCTTCTAATTCCTGAGCTTCTCCCCAGAAAGCTGAAATTCTGCCACAGATGTTTCTTTGGAGATATAATCAGAAAGAATGTGTGCCTGAAATCTGAGGAAATT